TTGACTAGATCCACTTTGAAGAGAGTCGAATCTCCCTTGAGAAACTTTGAGGTTACCGGTCATTGGGCTGCCGACCCACGAAGTGAGTTCCATCCGGGTGCAAGCATTGTGGTCACTGTGTGAATGTGCAGTAGACTGGTGATTGTTGGTTAGGTAGGAAAAAGCAAAAGCTGGATTGGGTTTATTTGACGAGTTGGCTTTAGGGTATTTTTATACGAAAATGTTTGGGAACATGAGTAAGTTGCTTCACGTATTACTCGTCTGGTTTCGGTGGCGGCGGTGCAGCCTTGGGAATGATACCGACCGGTGGTACATGGGCGTTCTTGCCTTCCTCCAGATGGAATCGACGGTAGTATAGCTGAATCTGGGTAAAAACGCACTTCCAGTCGGGAACTTTCATACGCATTAGGTCTTCCACGTCTAGCAACGGGGAGACATTTCCCAATTTCCTGATAGACAAAAGCAGAATACAGATTGGTCAATTGAAAATACATTAATACCAATGAGGTATTACTAATCACGTTTGCTTACACGACCGTTTTTCTGGCAATATTTATCTGATCGAGATGTTCTAGAGCATTTCTGATTAAATAAGCCACCCTCGGAATGGAGTTACTTCATCAGTACTGAACAAAATCTTTGTATAAAAGTATTTGGCTGCATAACATCTAAGCTATGATGTGCTTTTTTTATCCCGAATGAAAATGCTGAGTAGCGCAAACGAAAAACCATTCAAAATACCCTCTCTGATCTTAATACGAAGAGTAATATTTCTTATGGACGTATATTGAAAGAATGCTTTGAATGAACAGAATAATAATAAATGTTTATTGAGAAAATTTTGGTAATGAAATCAGAGGTACTTTACAAATTTTCTTTCAGCAGAATTCGTAGAGAGAACATGTGGTTCATGTGCTTCGGTTTCCATAGAAACAACGGTTTATGAGATTTTGGTCTTGACGTCAAGTGGTTTACACTACGGTAGAAGTTTATTGCTCGTATACTGAAGTGTTTTACAAAATAATTCCAAGGATTTCGTTGTCTTAGATACAAAACATTGCTTAAATCCAGGGCCGATTACAGCTCAACAGCTTTGAAACGTTGCAAATATGTAATCCCATATTTTTATACAATGGAGTGCTGTATATTATATTGAGTTGTAAAGGTAGTGGGAACAAAATGAAGCGGTGCACCGTGAGAATACATCTATCGATCCAACCATTAAGGTCATCAATAAGAATCTAGCAATTCATAAGTTTTGTTCGCAGGCAATTCAAACGAATTTAAGCCTTTTAACACTTCATTTCGGGAAAAATTCGTTGACGGACTCACTTTTGGACTATTCTGTTCACTGATACACATTACAGTATGTTCTACGTGTATGTATAATACCGAGTACGAATAAAAGATGAATATCAATAAACGCGTAACTGGCTGTGTTGCTCTAGGAAAGTTCGACTGACAGTTTATGAGCTAATTACTGATAATAATCCAAAAAGACGTTAAACTCTGCTTGTCGCTTTCGGTAGGTTCTCACCCACAATAAACCAATGAAACCCAGAGCAATGGAAAGTGTCAAATCAATACGTTCGCAATATGTACTCCCTGAGATGCAGAGTAGGAATTTGTTTTGAAAAATTACCTATGACTTGGAAACCCAGTTTCTTCAACTTTTGTTTTAACTTACTCAGCTTTCTCAAAGGCCAATTCAAAGTTATGGCGGCGGTTTTCCGGTTTCAGTTCGGCAAAATTGAACGAATCCGGATAGAAGTGGTGAATCATTGCGCAAAAAGCCAAACCATCGCTCCAGCTACTGCCGAAATTTTTGATATCCACACCCTGATAGGGAAATGTAGAAAATAAATTAGATGGTGGTATCGAACATAACAAAATTGTTCTGTGGTCAAGGTATAGAAATTTTATATTTTCTTGTTTGGTTCATAGGATTGCTGAGGTTGATGGAAAAAAATAATGACGATGACAACAGTAAACCGAAAACCAAAAAAAACTTAGATCAGATTAATCAACTAGGCAAAACAAATTCATGAGAAAAAAAAAATAGTTCTTCCACTCGAAATTGTAGAAATTCAACATTGGCTGTGAATTGCTAGGTGCAGCTATTTGATGCATTTGTGATCAACAAATGAAATGAACGAAACGGCTTCAGAAGATCGGAAGGAATTGCTGCAAAAACTCAAGGATAATTTAACCAAAAGCTGCAGTAGTGATGACGATGTTTAGTAGCCTTCTCCAATTCAAAATAATAAATTCATTAAACACTCAATTTCCGCACAGGAAAAAGGAGCAAGAATATAACGAGATGAGTCCTTTATTGGAAAAAAATTTCTCTTTACATTTCTAAGTTTGTGTGTTGACGTTCGGGTTTTCTATCGGGTGTAGTGTAAAAGAGTTATTTCGCTTGAGTGTGTGGAATTTTCCGAACTTCTGAATATCCTGTTTAGATGGGCACAATCGGTTTCACTACAGACACCAGGCACGGTGAGTGAACTTTTGTTATTATAGTAATGAATATCACTCGTTGGGAGTCCACTGATTGACCAAACTTGAAAAATATTCATTTTAAAAGGTAATTTTGGTGTGACACAGGACAAATAATACGGCCCAATCCTTTTTGGGGATCCCGTGGCAGCGCATAATTTTTACTGTTCCGGGCGGAACTCGAAACAGGAATCTTCGGACTAGGTGAAAAAATCCTCGTCTCTGAGCTGCACGGTAGATGGTTCATTTTTAGAGCAATTGGAATGGTGGGATGTTACCGCACAATCGACTGAACTAAGTTCTGCATCTGCAAACATTTTATTCGTCATAAGAGGTCTTTTGTTTGATCCTCGGCATCGGTTCACTCTCGAAGGATTGTGGAAATCAACTTCATTGCCTTTTGTAATTGTTCGTAGTGCCTGGGATGAACCTGAATCTGAACTTCTTTCAGTTTCACTTGATTTTTTGATGGTCGTTTATGTTGGCGACAGCGTTGTGTTATGTGCCTCCTCAGCCACAATGTTGTTTACTCCACATTCATTGCCACCACTAATTGTTATCTGTTTTCGGTACATCATCGTTATAAATGATGAAAAGAGATTATCTGAGTTACAGTGTATCAACTAGTTTATTTGTAATCGATTAAACAGAACAATGGTCCAAGTGAAATCAGGGTACGGTTTCTCGTTTTTTGTTATTTTTGTGGGTTTAACTAGCACGATTGTAGCAACAGCAGCAGCAGTAGCATACCGCTGAACAATGATCAACTGCTACGATCGTTTTGTGCGTAATCGGAACGGGAGTAGTAGCAGTCTGTAAAACGAAAACACGTGTTATCATATACAAATAATCAAGGTTATGAGGTCAACTAGTTTGGTGGCAGACCAAGGGAGAACTAACCACTGCTGATGCATAGCAATTTCCTGTTTCGCATTGTTAGTGTGTGGTTAAACGAAACGAAAAATTCAATGGGAACCAAAGCCGGTGTACACTGAGATATCCAGAACTGGTGTGTGTGTGTGTGCGTGCATGAGAATCTGCCTGCAAGTGCAAACGTACACACGTAAAAAGTAATAAAATAGGCAGACAGTAGGAATCACTTCTTTTCTCCTATGTGCTGCATATACGGCTTAGGTCAGTGACTGCACATGTGCCATTACATCTTTTACCGACTCCGGAATAAGGACGGAAGCAACCATTATAATACCTCAAACATAAATCGTTCTTTCATGAGAGCAAGAAGAAGCAACATGATCACAGGATGTGCTGAAATCAACTATTTCGTAGTCTCAGCAGCTGTTTGCGTACATTCAGATCACGTTTGGTTAAAAGAGTGACAGGTTTGGGGACAGGTGAACACACACGGGGATCAATCAATACGAAGACCAAAGGTCACCGATATGAACCGGATTGGACATTGGGATAGGGAGCGGAATCACTGCAGTTAGAGGAAGGAAAGAGGGAGGAGGACAGTGACACACCGACCAGCGGGGGCAGCGCGAGGCCAGGCACAAGTGCGGTCTGTTCACACAAATCGGGCTTGTAACGTCGAATAGCATCCGCTTCAGCGAACCGTAATAGACAGCCACCTTTTTGCGGATCAAGACACGAAAGGCGTCCCTAGGTTTGCCACATTCTTTGCAATCCATGGACACAGCTGATGAGATTTCCATGAAATAGCTGAATTCAACACATCCTGTAATCACGATGCTTCTTGCTCTCATGAACTTGTTAAAAGGAACTGGTTGCATGAAATAAATCGTTCTATTTTCTTTTCAATAAAGTATTTTTTGATGAAAAAGGAACTTATTCGGCTGATTATCGGGTGAACCATATAGGGCGGTAGAAACCGGTTTTCCTACTCTCCTTTTTAAGGATCATTTAATACCAGGTTCTTCCAGAGTAAAATATTTAGTGTCGATAAACTAGAATCTGTCATGGTCAACATTTGTCGAACAAAACTTTTGTAAGGTTAGAAGACTATCATTTTTCTCCCCTAGACTAAAAATGCTCTCAATATAGCGTATGAACTATTTCTTAATTTCGTGAAGGCCTACCCATTTCCCCGGTCTCGGTACGACGTTCACCAGTTATTTTCCCTGGTGCACTTGAGAAAGATTTTGTTACTCAGATCAAATCTATACAAAGTCG